TCGACTTTAAGTTGTACCCTTGATTTCAAGAGGAAAATCGCTCACATTTTGGTTTGGGAAAACCGAAAGTGCTGTAACAGGCAGAGTTTTCATGATAGGGGGCTGAAATTTGGAACACAACAACTTCAGATAGGTGTGTACCTTCAGTGCAAATTTTAACTTTCCAGCTGATAGCCTTCGAACGGCAGCTTGTCAAAGTTTTGGTCTTCACTCAGACCAGTGCAATGGGACTCTATAGGCAGACTGCCGACCCCCAACCCGTCACTAAAATGGCCATAACTCGGCCAATTTTGACCCTAGAGGTATAATTTTGGTTGCAAACGAAAGTTAAACATGTCTTCTATCTATTTCAGTCGAAAACAGAAATTCGTATTTTCTGAAATCTTTCGGGAAAATCGACTTTGAAGTTCTACCCAAATTTTCAAGAGGGAAATTTGCTTATATTTTGGTGCGAGAAAAAACCTGAAACTTAAAGTGCTGTAACAGGCTGAGTTTTCAAGATAGGAGGCTGAAATTTGGATCACAATAACTTCAGATGGGTGGGTACCTTCAGTATAAATTTCAACTTTCCAGCTCCGATAGCCTTTGAACGGCAGCCTGTCAAAGTTTTGGTCTTCATCCCATTGAAAATGCAGTGCAGAAAGACGCTAAAGGCGGACTGCCGGCCCCACCCCCTCACTAAAATGGCCATAACTCGGCCAATTTTGACCCGAGAGGTACAATTTTTGTTTGTAATGATAGCTTATCATTTCCTCCATCTATTTCAGTAGAAACCAGAATTTCGAACTTTTTTCAAACTTTGGCCAAAATCGACTTTAAAGTTGTACCCTTGATTTCAAGAGGAAAATCGCTTATATTTTGGTTCGGGAAAAAAGTCTGAGACCGAAAGTGCTGTAACAGGCAGAGTTTTCATGATAGGAGGCTGAGATTTGGAACACAACAACTTCGGATAGGTGTGTACCTTCAGTGCAAATTTCAACTTTCCAGCTTTGATAGTCTTCGAAAGGCAGCCTGTCAAAATTTTGGTCTTCACACAGACCAGTGCAATGGGACTCTATAGGCAGACTGCCGACCCCAACCCCCTCACTAAAAATGGCCATAACTCGGCCAATTCTGACCCCAGAGGTATAATTTTTGTTGCAAACAAAAGTTAAACATGTCTTCTATCTATTTCAGTCGAAAACAGAAATTCTTATTTTTTGAAATCTTTCGGGAAAATCGACTTTGAAGTTCTACCCGAATTTTCAAGAGGGAAATTTGCTTATATTTTGGTGCGAGAAAAAACCTGAAACTCAAAGTGCTGTAACAGGCTGAGTTTTCAAGATAGGAGGCTGAAATTCGGATCACAAAAACTTCAGATAGGTGTGTACCTTCAGTGCAAATTTCAACTTTCCAACTCTGATAGTCTTGGAACGGCAGCCTGTCAAAGTTTTGGTCTTCATCCCATTGAAAATACAGTGCAGAAAGACGCTGTAGGCAGACTGCCGACCCCACCCCCTCACTAAAATGGCCATAACTCGGCCAATTTTGACCCGAGAGGTACAATTTTTGTTTGTAATGAAAGCTTATCATTTCCTCCATCTGTGTCGGTAGAAACCAGAATTTCGAACTTTTTTCAAACTTTGGCCAAAATCGACTTTAAAGTTGTACCCTTGATTTCAAGAGGAAAATCGCTTATATTTTGGTTTCGGAAAAAAGTCTGAGACCGAAAGTGCTGTAACAGGTAGAGTTTTCATGATAGGGGGCTGAAATTCGGAACACAACAACTTCAGATAGGTGTGTACCTTCAGTGCAAATTTCAACTTTCCAGCTCTGATAGTCTTCGATCGGCAGCCTGTCAAAGTTTTGGTCTTCACTCAGACCAGTGCAATGGGACTCTATAGGCAGACTGCCGACCCCCACCCCCTCACTAAAATTCCCATAACTCGACCAATTTTGACCCCAGAGGTATGTCTTCTATCTATTTCAGTCGAAAATAGAAATTCGTATTTTTTTAAATCTTTCGGGAAAATCGACTTTGAAGTCTTGTTATAATTCTTATAACGGTTGTGACGAAAGTCTAAATTGGTGTTTTTTGTTTTTAGATTGCTGAAAATATCGGAAATATCGATATTTTCAAAATGGAAATTTATCATAGCACAGAAAGCCCACAGAAGTCTTTTGTATGTGGTTTTAACTCAAATCAGAGGTCACTAACAAATATTTTCCGATTTAAACCTAAAAAAACAATACTCCATTTTCACTACACAAAAAATAAAATTGTCGGCGTCACGGAGAATTAAGATATCATAATGATGGAAAGTAAATCTTTTCACGATCATGATCATCTTCACAATCTATTAAAAACTCCGTCTTATACCCTGATTGCAATAGCAACCTTTCTTGTATCATTCAAGTTCATCAATGTAGCGAATTGGTTGGATTGTTCGCTTCCGAATAAGCCAATCCAAGCCCTCGACAAAAAGTATGTACTTTAAGTTTAGGTATTATAAGCCATTGTGTTTACCGTTTTTATACGCCCACATATCTCTATCTATATATCCATCGGTCCGTCCGTTCACAATTGCTCGTAAACACTCTACAAGACACAATTCTTGATGGATTTTGACGAAACTTGGCATGAGTGTTTGTTATCAACCATGGATAAACCCTATTGAAAATCACAAAAATATTTAGTATGAGTTATTGTTTTTGAAAACGCGTTCAATTTTTAGCTCGTAAACACTCTAGAACGCATAATTCTTGACAGATTTTGACGAAATCGTAACCACACAAGGATGAACCCTATTGAAAATCAGAAAAATCGAAAAATATTTAGTATGAGTTATTGCCCTTGTTCTTGAAAACGCTTTCAAATTTAGCTCTAAAACACTAAAAGGCATGATTGTTGCTGAATTTTGACAATACTTGGTTTTATTCTTCAGATCCGCGCTGAAGATTGAATATTTGCCTTCTTGAGTGTTCACGAGCTAAAAATTGAACACGTTTTCAAGAACAAAGGCAATGACTCACACTCAATATTATTCAGTATCGCCCTAAAGAGTTCAAAAGAAGTGTATGACTGAAGGTTGATTATTTCATACTGGTTATTGTTACTGTACTGCTAAATATTTTTATTCAAATCAAAGCTGCTAGTGGGCGTATATTACCTTGCCTGGCAAGCTATCTATATGTAGATTGATTAGATTGGCTGTATTCGCTAGCGGACAATTCCAACAAATCGCTGCATTCCGTGATAAGAATGATAGCTATGTAACTAAGGTATCAGACGACATTGTGAAGATGGATCAAGTTATGACTTATAAATTTCTAGCATTTTTTGTATTGATCTCAATTTCATTTTTGCAGTGATAATTTTATTGTTGTTTAGAATGTGATATGATTCAGAAATATGAATAAAAACATCGTAAAGCAAGAAAGCAAGTAATTATTTGTTTTATTTTAATAACAAAAATGATCTCATTATGTTGGCGTCACCCCATCCAGCTGACTAGTTTCGTTTCTTAGTATGAAAATCCACCTCCTTAAAGGCCTTAGTGCGCCAGTTTCGGGGATGAAATGAAACGTTCTTCAAATTGAACGCTGTTAACAAGGCAACTTGTTAAAATAACTTTCAAACATGGATACGCGTGAACAGGAAGGCTAAAGTTTCGATGGTAAGCTGTGAAAACAGTTAAGTTTTTTTTGTTTTTTTTTTTATTAGACCAAGGTATGATTTACTCCCGAAAATGCGCATCTGTCCCTTTAAAATACAAATATCAGCGAAATTTAAAACTGTGGTATTATTGGTTGCGCGTACAAACACACCCTATATATCGTATAAATAGTTTCAAAACCACTGAACACACCGGTAAACTAGAATTGTTGCCAGCCACTTTGATTGTCTATTTCCATTTTTAAAAAAGCATGAACTAATTCACTATACCCATAAAACAACAAAATACACCTTCATGGAAATCTCTTCAGGAAAACGCTCTTGTTAAATCAAAATATTTGGATTTAAATGTCTTATGGTCTATGGTAGTATTGAATATATATGCTGGTGTGGACTCATAGTCAAATAATTTGAAATCTGGCAAAAACAGTTTTCTGAGTTTAAGTTTATCCTCCGAAGATATTTGATTAAATGCGTCCGTTAACGCTTCAAGTTTCTGCTGTTTTTTGTTATGTTTTGAATGGTTGCGTGCATGTAGTAAGGCTTTGATAAATTCTCTTGCAGAGACTTGGTCCATTTTATGAGATCCAAATGGTAAACTTTGATGTTTATCCACGATTCCACGAATTTGCATTTTTCTCCATATTCTTAATCCTGCTTCATGCATAGTCATACACCGCTTGATGCTAGTTTTCCAACCGAAAGGACTGGCTGTGGAATCATATATTGCATCTTCCTCGGCTTTAACTGCCCATTGTTTTAATAATTGTTCACTGATATTAAAGCCAATGTTATTCATTATAAATGTAGTATCGTTTAAAAAGCTCTCCATTTTGCCTACGACATTGTATTTGATTTCACAAGGTTTACACTGATCGTATATTGGAGTAAAATGGGCGTCTCTAGCTGTGTTATTGGTTGCTTCAGAATGAATCACATATTTTATGAACTCTGGAAACGTCACATCGTGGCCGCATTTTTTGCTTTTCTCCGTGGCATTTACACGGAAATTACGGATGATATATTTTCCTATCACTGACCAGAAGTACGGATTTGGAGCGAAAATTTTGTCGATGTATCCGGAAATTAATCTGGTAAAAGGCTCGCGAACAAACATCATTTTTAACGATTCATTTTCTAGAAAATGTTCAGTTCGAACTTTGTTTGTTTTTAGCTCGGAGAATAAATTTGCGTGTTTGGCTGATAATGCTTTTTGTATAGGAATATCGTAAGGTGTGTGGATTGGCGTATTAGTATCCAGAGCGTATAGAACTCGCCTCCAAAATGTCGAACCTACTTTTAATACCGGACAATATAACATCTGTGATTCTGGATGAAGTGTTATTCGACCGTAAGCCCATTTCCTATCGGATAATCCGAACAACTTCTTTTCGTTTCCATGACAACCATCTAGTAATATCTTGCTTCTCCGTTTTTGTTCTTGTAATATTGATGTTATCTTCATGTACGTTAAGGTACCGGCCATTTCTGTGATGCTAAATGATGATAATTTCTCCTGAAATGATAGGAAGATTTCGTGCTATTGATTTGTGTAACATGTATGTTTAGGAAGTGAGGTATAATTACAATGATTAGAAAGTCTTTTATATTCAAGATACTGATTCTTATCAAACCCGTATTGGGGACTAACTATTTCATTAATTCAGAACACGTCTTGGAAAAAGCTCACATTGTTTTAACCTCAGAGCAAAGATAAACAATTAGAAAATCGGCTATGTATTCGTCGCATATGTTCGTTTAAGCAACTCTTGAACCATATCTGTCCCCACAATTCAGTGCAATTCGTGGCAACATGTGTCAATGCTTCACATTGGGGACGCCATATACACGCATAAGTAACGCATTGTAGACGCAAGGCACGACCAAATAATTAGCTGCATCAGCACATATTGACACACAGTGTTTGCGCATTGTTCACACGCACCAACTGCAGTTTTGCACCAATGCTTATAATATTTTGGTCGTGCAGTGCGTATATACAATACATTTGTACGGAGACAGCTCAGCACACATTGTCATGATCATTTGCGAGGCATTGTGGGATCAAAATGGCATAACCATAACCACGACCTTACCATTTTACTTTTCGGTATCAAGTCATCTTGGGGAATCTAGAAAAATTTGGATTACTGTATACCAAAATAACAATTATCAGAGCAGGGAAACACCAATTTATGGTCTTATTTCCGCTGGCTTTCATTGTAGACTTGTAATTGATCTTATTTAAGATTTAAGATATAATAAAGATACGAAAATACTAAAAATTCAATCAGAAGTTAAAGAAAGCATAATGGAGGTCTCAGAAAAGGTAAATAAATTCATGATTGGATGGCATAGCCACCATGTAATGTTTCTTTGTCATTTTATGAAGTGGACAAGTTTAAATTTAATGGCTATTTTCAGAATTTAAATCCTACGGAGCCCCTAAGGCGCAATTGTAAACGAAATAATAATTTATCAATTCGTTTAAACGAAATAATTAATTCGTTTTATCGAAATAATTAATTCGTTTAAACGAAATAATTAATTCGTTTAAACCAAATAATTATTTCGTTTAAACTAAATATGTGATATTAATAAAAAGTGTTGGAAATTGCGCTTAAGGGGCTCCGTAAAATCCAGTTCTCGCACAATTATAGTTTGCTTATTTAGAATAGAACTGAACATCGGAATTTAATTCAGAAGAGCGATTTGGTTCGCTAAAAATAAGCTCTATTGGCTTTAAAAGTAAATATTAAGATGACAGTCCATTTAATAAACGACAACTAGGCCATTGATCGTATAGTTTAAAACATAAACATACTGTAACGTGTTTATTTATTTTTCTGTTTTTCTTCCTTTTATAGACAACTCCTCTCTGCTGCTGTGATATATTGTAGCTAACTATTTCGTCTTTTCTGTGGTCAAAACTATTCACTAGATGTTGATTTAAGGGCACATTTTTTACTGTTTTTTGGGTCAAATGGACTTGAACTGCAAAAAAAAGAAGAAACAATACAAACCATACAAAATTTTCAGTTTTACGTTTTAACGACATTATCATAATGTCATAATTCTTCATTATAAGAAGATATATCCATTAAACTAAATGATTATTGAAACACTTGATTTTATGTGTGACAACCACATCGAAACGTTGAAGTTTTTAAGAAATAATTAATTCGTTTAAACGAAATAATTAATTGTATAGTTGTATAGTTATTCCACCAAGTAAGTCCATTGATGAACAGAGAATCATTTTTCAATGTGGAGTATGTGTCATAAAAATAGGAATTGTGACAAAACCCTACTCCCAGTGGTCAATGGTCAATTTCGATGTCTATTGACGTCATGAGTCAGTAATCCATACTTTCGGAATATCTTTTTAAATATTCAATAAAAAAACGGCATTGTTTTCAATATTTTGACCATTAGCTTTATTCCTTTGATATTAAAGGGATTGTAAAGAGGTTTTCTAAATATTGTATGTTTATCGAGGAAACTGATAGCATCAATTTGCACCATCCCAATTTTTAATCAGACATCTGTGCTTCCTGCAATTCTGGTAAAATTAATTGTTTGATGACGTCACTAAAGATGAGTCTGAAGTGAAACAAGTATATTTTGCGATTAGTGATGTCATCATACACTCATATGAAAATTGGAAAAGTGCAAATTGATGCTATCAGTGTACCCGTTACACATAAAAATATTGAAAACCTCTTTATACTCCCGTTGATATTACTAAAAAAAAAACGACAATGAAAATTGATGCACAGTCTCTTTAATTGTTCCTCAAATACGTCAATAACATGTACGTATAATTTTTCACGGAATCAACCACGCAGATGATCTAGTTTGTTTCAAGAATCTTGAAATAACCTCGGGCAGCCTGTTACCGACTTAATTGTTATTCTCAATGTAAATCAATTTATTTTTTTGTAACAACAAATCAACTTTAGATCATATAGACAGCTCAATATTTTCAATTAACAGAGACAATAAAATTTGATTTTTATGTTTGTAGAATTATTTATGTTACCAAAAAATGAATGATGTTAATGCCTACTTTTACGGGCAACCCCATGCAGGGTCCAATGAGGGAAATTTTTCCAGGACAGCGGCATTGTCCTTCTCTTTTTCGATTATACTGATAGCATCGATTTGCACCATTCCAATTTTCAATCCGACGTCTGTGGTTCTTGCAATTCTACTTAAGTATGCTTTTTATCGCAAAGATCCTTATAATTAGCAGCTTTTGCGAGCATATATATGATATATTTATTTTGGTATAACATTTAGAGGTTTGGAAACTCTTTTAAAATGAGACCCGGTGTGCGACATGCGATATGCTTTATAAGTTAACAATCCATCGACTGTTTGAAATCGAAAAAAAATATTATAACATTGTTGTTTTGCAAAATTTCCCTGATTAACGTTGCATTGCGTGTCTTGTCTTCATTAGTCCAAACCAGAGAAAAACATATAGGAGGCAAAACTACATTTTATGTCATTTTTATATAATACCTTCAACAAATTGTCAGTTACCACCAAGTACATCGAGAACGTATTATTATAGGCTTTATAAGTTATAAATTATACCGGTAATATGATATAATTGAACATGAAACAGTGTGTTAGTAGATAAAATATAACCTGTAATATTGTGTTATTATACCAGATTTAACATAACCTGAAATATTGTGTTATTATACCAGATGTGACATAATCTGAAATATTGTGTTATTATACCAGATATAATATAACCTGAAATATTGTGTTATTATATCAGATATAATATAATCTGAAATTTGTTGTCGAAATATCGTAAAGCTCCTCATAGAACATTTCAGGATCAACAGTTCAAAAAATAACCAGAGTTAAATCAATAACGACATGAAGACGACAATCTGGCAAAGTTTTACGATACGTTCATATTCACAATGCCAATATATTACGAACTTCGTTTCATACCTTGACTGCAATAGCCACCTTTCTTGTATCATAGCGGTTTGTAAATGCAGCAATTTGATTGGATTCTATACTAACAAATACAGCCAATCAAGAACTTCGACAGAAATAAATAACGATGAGCCATAATGTTTAATTTTTCACGGCTCTGATTGAAAATCGCTGCATTCCGTGATACAAGCCATAGTGATTACAGTGTTCTGTCGAGGGCTCTGATTGGTTGTATTCTGTAGCGTATACACCAATTGCTGCTTTCCTTGATTCAAGAATAGGCTATTGCATTCAAGGTATAAGACGAAGTTCGTAATAACTTAGCATTGAGAATATGCTGTACGTTTCGTTGCAATTGAATGGATCATCGGAGTTTCGATATAGATGGGTAGTCAGAATGTTCTGTAAACTTTGAATACTATGATCGATCAATTATTTAAATGTCATATTGTGACTGAATAATTTCCGTATTAGTATTCTCTGAGCATCTTTTTCCTTATCGATTTGTCCAATTAAAACCTGACAGCTTTTCATCATAAAATAACGCGCGATTATAAACAAGACATATATGTAGTAGTAATATGTTTGGTTCCATTGTTACAGGCATCTTTACTGACGGAACGATAATTAAATATTTATAGATGCTGATTGTGAAAGGGAAATATCGTATCTTAGTCTCAGAAACGAGATAAGCTAATCTGCAATATTATCCACAGTTCACCGTCGAGTATTGATCCATGACGAGTCGTCATTTCTTAAATCTCTAGTATTAAGAGTGAGGAAGTTCGTAGAAAATACTATGTAAAGCACTGGCCGAGGTCACAATTCTACTTTGGGGTATATTTGAAAGGACTATTCAATTTTTGTGCAGTACTTCCAAAGACTATTTACATAAAATACAATTTTGATTTTGCTTTAATGTAGGCATCATTTTGTGGTGTATAACACGATGATTAAATAAAATCGTATAGGAATCGAGCAACTGTGCCATTCAACGTTCATTACTGAATGTTATGGCAAAAGCAAAAAAAACATTGAAAAAACTTTCTCTGAGATTTACATTTTCGAGAAAAAGCCATAGAATTTGTGCAAGAAGATCGTGAAATCTTATTATCTTACTTAAAATGAATTTCTGACAATTGGGACTGATATACTTTGTTCGTGGTTTAATGTAAAAGTAATCATTTAAATTGAGGCATACCAGAAGTAAAGGCTTTGATTGACGTTTATGGTGATCAAAATTGATAATGGAGTTTTTTTTTTTCATAGAAAAAACTATGGTAGGTCGGATGTAGAATAATGAATCTGTCAAAGAGAAGCTTTTGACTATTGATCTTGGAATCACGATAACATTTGATTGGAATGTTTTAATAGAGCTTCAAG